GCAGCAGTCACGATGGAGCCACGGTGAGGTAAAGGCATAAACTCTTCTTGGCTCTGGTTTTAAAGAATCTGGGGGAAGTTGGGTGATCTTGCTTTTTGAGACTGAGTTAGTTTCTCAAACAGGCCGAGGACAGTGTTGGACGGTGTATCTGGTGCCGGTCAGCTCAGCCTCTTGCATAGCGCCCAGGAACTCCGACTCCAGTGCAGTCCCGTGTAGCACATCTGCGTGCGTGTGTGATCACTTCTGGGCTGAGCTGTCTGCTTTGCCCTCTCTGGGCACCATGCAGACAGAGATGATGATTGCCCATGTGAACATACGCCAAGCAGCACCCCTAAAAGTTCTTTTCATTTCCTCTGCCATCAGTTGCACAGAAATATGTGTGTTAGGTGTAAATAATGGAGGACTGGGCTGTCAGGACAATGTTACGCAAATGAGCTGCTGAAAAATACTCATCTACAGGGGCATGTACTGAGGCTGCCTCACTCTTTATGTCTTGTAGCACTGTTATTGGTGAACAATAAAAGTAATACGTGTATATGCTGTGTGACTCTGGGTTGGGTGTACCAGGGACAGAGCATCTGGAAGATTCAGCCATTTTGATTTCATTCCATAAAGATTTGGAGTCATTAAATATTGGGTCAAGTCAGTCCTTAGCATCTGACAAGCAAAATTGATACACATTAAGTTTTGTTTTACATGGAAGAAAAGAAATTTTGGATGTCCCTGAGTCTTTATCAGATTCCATAGTAGTCGGATCCATTCCACCCACAGTAAGACAGTTTAAGTGACATGTCCCTCCCTCTCTCCCTGGTTGCCTAGTACAGCAGTTAGGGACATTGTGAGAGCTAGCGTGGTTGTCCTCTTGCTGTGTTTTGGTGAAGTTAGAGCCTAGGGGAGGGTATAAATTAAAGCAAGGAAAAGGAAGTGTCGGGGGGGAAACAACGTGGAGGGAGTGGAGGCTGGCAGTCTTCTACAAGGAAATGAAAGGAAATTCTTCACTTCTAAATGGTTCGTTGACCCATGATAATAATGCAGCCCTGCCTGAGAAGGATAATTATCTTTTTAAGTATCAGATGCCCTGTGGGTGAAGGCTTCCCTCCTCCTCTCTTGACAAATGAGCTCAGATTAAACAAACGTCCTTTTTCACTTAGTTTACTGTTGATGTGAATTTCCTGATTATGAGCAGCATTAATCAGTTTCCCCTCTTTTTCTCCCCTCTCTCCTGCAAATTGGGCTTGCCCAGCTGAGCTCAGCGGATTTCCCCTGGGTCCCGAGTTCCACCAACACTGTGATGGGTTAAAGTGCTTGATATTCAGTGAGACCAGAAATTGCAGGATCGTAGTTTTATTAGGCCCTTTTGCTACTTAGCTCCAGGCAGAGATTCTTTCTTAAAACAACAAGAAAAAATAGAATAAAGAAATAGAAAAAATTATCAGTGCTTTTTCTCCTGCTAGTATTTGAAAACTAAAGAAGTATTAATATATGTTTTGCATATGTAAGCATAGACAACCTCTATGAAGGTTTGATGTCACAATTTCTCAGCTTTACAATGATGTGAAAGTACACTCATGTAATCATTCTGCTTTTCAGATTCAATAGAGTATTCAGAAAGTTACAAAAGACATTCCACACTTTATTTTAAAACATGCCTTGTACTGAGTAATTGTGTCCAGCTGTTCACTAATGTGACTGTCCCTGGTATGTTGAAGGTGGACTGGGCACAGCCATGATGTTTGACGGGCTAGGTTTGTGAAATGCATTCATGACTTAGGATATTTTCAGCTTACATCCCTTATTTATTGGGATGCAACCCCATCCTAAGTTGAGTATCTGTTTATGTACACACAGAGACATATACATGTATGTATACATATGCTATGAGTTCAAATACAAAAAGAAACTGAAATGATATTGATAGTGTAACAGTGAATACTAATTTGCTGCAAATAAGTGATTGCATTCTTTTTCTCTAGCTGTTGTTTGCTTAGACTGATAATGTAAGTATGTTGCCTTATCCAGCTTATAAAATGCCCTAATACATTTTCCTTTGTATAAGCAGACAACTCTTTGCTGTGAATTACCGTCAGATGTTTTCTTGGACCCTGAATCATCAGTTTGAGGAACCCTTGTCATAAACTGCTTAAACATGTGGCAAATCTGTTAGCTATAGATGAATCTCAGTGTACATTTTCAGAATGTTTATATTCCTTTTAAATATAAAATCAGCTGCTATCATATATTCACTACATATTTCTATTTTTCCCTTAAAAAGTAAATTAAAATTTTAAACATGATGTTCAACCTGGAGAAACCTGGATATTCCAACTGCTTCTCCAGTGTACTGTCTTTGGCTTCTGAGGGGGCAGAGCTTTAGGACAGGGGTCAGGAGATGATGGTCAGATGCATCTTGCCTTTGCTATAATTGCATCAGGAAACGCTGCAGTCAGTCACTCTGTGCACTTATGTCCCCTTTCTGAAAAGAAACTTTTGCACACCCAAGGCTTCCCTTTCAGAGTATAACTGACCATGTTGTTAAGCTCTTTCCTTGGAGTTCAGTGGTTCAAGCAGAGTGCTCCTTAGCAGTCCTCCTGCAGATGTCCTGGTGTGTCCGCTGCGGCCAGTGGAGCGCTTCCATGACCTGCATCCCGAGGAAGTGGCTGATTTGTTTCGGGTGACCCAGAGAGTCGGGACAGTGGTGGAGAGACATTTCCAAGGGACCTCCCTCACTTTTTCCATGCAGGTGTGTACACAGATGGCCAGAATGATTTTTCTCCCTTTTCAAGTCCTGGCTGTGGGTTTGATATGCCAGACATCTTACCAGGAAGGCAGCTGGGCTTTTCTGCATTTACGTAATAGTGGAAAGAGATGTTACTAAGCTAGGGGAGCTCTAGTGTCCATGAGCCCCAAGGGGAACTATCTTCAGCACTGTTTACAAAGCAAGCGGGAATACTAGACATGGGATTTAATGGGCACCAAGACATTCTAGGTCTTATAATGGAACTGGGGCTAGACAAGACCATTTCCCTCCATGGTAAATGTGTTTTGGGTACTGCATGGACTGAGTACTGCTCAAGTTCCAGGGGAGCAGCGTACGCAAGAGTTTGCTTGAGCCCCCCCCTCATGGGATTACCTTTTCCCTGCCTTTCAGGCAAGCCACAGTGATTGACCACGGGTTGGCACAAAGCTGGATTGGAGGACTGGCTATGGCCCACTCCCCTGAAAGAAGCCAGGCTCCATCCTTGGAGACCTTTGGTAGAGGTTGGGCTAATACTTTTAAGGTTAGGAGCGGGGAGTCCATGGTACATCATCAATCAGGAGTTGAGCAAAGCCAGAGTAAGTTACCACGAGCCCGTTCAGATCCTCTAGGGAAAGTTCTGGGATACCAGTGCACATATAAAACCTTTTACGGCTCTGAAATGAAATGACTTCAGGCTTGGCTTCTGGAAGGAAATTGACTGTTCCTGGATGTAAGGACTCCGTCCTCAGTGCTCTTGTTAAACTGAGTATTTGTTCCCCTGCCTCTTCTGTCAGCTCTCTGCCTAGGCCTTCAAAGAGACCACAAAAGAAAACTGATGCCTTCAGGCCATTTAAGGCTTAGATTAAAACTTCCCATCTGCTTAAAACAAAATGAAACAAAGCAAATAACCCTTTCTACGTGTTGCATGTCAAACCATTTGAGTCACTTTCAAGCAGGTAGGTTAGTTTGAGATGGATTTATGAAGCTTCTGTTGTAGACTGTCTTTCCAGAGAGAACCCGTGAAGGCAAATGGGTGAGAACATTGCTTAGGGTTTGATGAATATCAGATGAAAATTCATGGGTAATGGAAATACCAGTACTACTTATCTAACATGATTCCCTGGAATGTTAATGCCATAAATAAAAGAACTGATTTGTATTTAACACTCAGAGTGCTTTCATAGATACAGTACGGTGTTATCAAACTTTCTTTATACTATAACCCACCCACAGTAAGATATATGTCTGACAGTCATGTTTATTCCTTCCCCTAGATACTCTTACATGGATGAGGAAACCGGACTGTTATAAAACCATATTTCCTCTGTGTATTCTTTTTGTCTTGTTAGAATATACTTATTTTTAGTATCAATTTCAACCTATTAAACTTGTTATGATGTCATATCTTTATTTTTTAATGCCACTTCCAACTTATAAAGTTGACTTCATGGCCCACTGATGTGTTATACCTTCTAGCTAGGAAAGCACTGATATCCACGGTTCTGCTAACACCTTGCAACAGCAGAAGAGGCATTCTCAGCCCACTGGCCAGGCTCGTAGAGGGAGGTGGACCTGGCCAATGTCATAGCGTGGTAATTAACTTGGGAAGATTTGGGCAGAGAGCTGTTTCTTGTCCTGCTTTCCCAAACCTACCAAGCATCTGCTTTTGCTTTGTCTTGTGGCTGGAAAGTCCGCTCATTTTCAGCTGAGATAGTGGTTTTGTTGGACTTCAGAAGCTTGGGAGGGGGAAGCAGATTGGGAAAAGGTCCAGCCACAGTGAACACTCACTCCCTCACCAAGGTCAGAGTGACCTGCAGGGCTCTTCCCACGCGTCATACCCCATATTCTTGCTTAATGGATGATGGTTACAGCAGATTTCCTGAGTAGAGACTTAGTAATCGGACATTAATTAAACCACCATGTCTGATTTAAAGATAACCAAGAGGTGTGATACTTCACCTCCCCAAACATTTTCAGCCTGCCTTTTAATGCAATTAAAACCATAGCCAAGAGCAGAGAGCATGAAAAGTAGCAAGGAGGTTGGCTTGCTGGATAATTTAGATCATTTTTATACATAACTTCTCACTCTCAGGCAGAAATGGAGAACTGTCTGGTCCCACACATTGGAAGCAAATGGTCCCCATGAGAATGCTGTAAATTAACACACAATGAAATTGGATCTAAATTATTAATGGGTGATATTTCCGAATAATCAGGAGATACCATCTATCTATTCTCACGCTGCTGTTTTTTTCCCTCCTAGGATGGCCCTGAAGCTGGACAGACTGTGAAGGTGAGTGCTTATTATGTGCATACAGATTAATAAGGGGTAATTATGAGGACTAATAAAAAATCACAGAGAGTCATTTGCAGCACATTCTGTTTCACTGTGTTGTCTTCGAGGTCAGAGAGACCCTCGGTGTTAGAGCCATAAATCCTGACATTATAAACTGTGCCAAACAATATGTTTCCCATTAGTTTACAAGACGTGTACTTTTTGTAGTAAAACTATTACCGTGCAGATGCCAAAAAGGGAACTAAATCCAGCAGTCCTGAAGCACACACTGCAGTTGTAGGAGCTCCTGGGAGGCGGGGCCTAGGACAGAGCTCACTGGGGCTATGTGACCTTTGTGGGTTCCTTGTCAAGCCGGGTGTGTCTGACACCCTTCAGTTCTCCTCAGTCATCTTTGCTTTTTCATTCTCCCTAGTGCAGGGACAGATTTTCTGGTGGCTCAGGTGGCCCTAGGTGTGTCTCCCTGCCCTCCTGGCCTTGTGTTTTGCGCTGCTTTTCTTCCACCCTACAGTTACTCTTTTCTTTTTTAATACCAAAGTTCAGACCTAATGGAATCAGTGGAGCTAAAAAAAAAAAAAAAAGGCTTTTTAAGTGTGCTAGAGAGAAAAGGAGGATTTATTAGAATAGTCTCTGATTCCATAGTAAAAAGAAGACTAAAATCCTGGCTGATTCTGAAGCTGAGTTTCAGCCCCTTTCATAGAAATGCAAATTTCTGTGCAGTTAGGTCCTATGCATAAGTCTTAGAAAAGGCAGTTTTTTTGGTGCTGGAAATCAAAAGCAAGTTGAACTGAGGGGCTAATGTTATGCTTGGTGAAATAACATTTTATGGGTTTTAAGACTGGCTGGTGAGTGGATAGGACCAGACGATGCCAAATGAAGGAACATGGTTCCTTTGTGGTCATGGTTTGTATATGGCTCTAACGTTTAACACAGCTCTTGTGAGACTTAAGGTAGAATGTCTGGAAAGCACCCTCGCGGAGTGATGTCTCAGAGGGACTGCCACCAATGGACCGCAAATGCCACTAGATGAAAAGGACTAGTTCTCCGATTGCTCGGACACGTAACAGCGGGGAGGAGGACACAGGGAGTCCAGCTTCCCTCCAGCCCACTATCTGCACCCCCTCATTATTCTTCCAAATATGCAAACACTATAAAAGAATATACAACCCATGGCTTTTTTAGGAAATAGATTCTTGAAATACAAAACCCAAATGCTTAAACCTAGTTACCAGAGTTTTAAAACCTCAGTGTTCAAATGCAAATTCCAATCACAGTAGACGAACTAGCTGCTTTAGTGCTGTATCTGTTTGATAGGATTCCCTCAGCCATTGAAAGTGACAGTGTAGAGGCAGAACTCGTAACATGAGAGAACACACAAACCTTATTAAGCCGAATACACACATTGATAATATGCACATATTAAGCATAGCTGAAATTTATATGAATAGATAGGTTATATGATCTCAAAATTCTGAAAGGGGACATTTAAAATATTTGCTGTGCAAGCAGGTTTGAATAGAGGCAGAAAGTAGATTACTGGGGAAGGGAAGGATTGGGGCGTGACTGCTAATAAGAACGGTTTTTTGTAGGGTGCTGAAACTTGTGTGGAAACATAGTGGTGATAGTTGTACAACACTGTGACTATACCAAAACTCATTGCATTATACTTTAAAAGTGTGAATTTACAGTATTTGAATTGTCTCTGCGTTGAAGTAATAATGTAAGACACATGTGTAGAAATAGACAAGCATTGAATCTAGCAGGGCTATAAACTATGGCTGTAGAATTGGACTCCAATTTTAATGTTTAGATTGGCTTTGGTGATGGTTTTTATTCTGAACCTACCACACTTACATGTTAATTGAGTGCAGTTTCTATCACCACCATTATCATTTAACTTATACTGATGTTTTTACTTCATTTAGGAAAGTTTAGTTGATTAGTACCTGTGTAGAGTGCATAATGTTTACATCCCTCGTGGGAAGTTAGTACATACACGTGCAGAACACATCCAGATTCCTTTTTTCACCCCTTATCCCTCTTCTCCCACCGACCCCTCCATTTCTTGACCTCCTTCCCCTTTGAGAACAATCTGTCTTTCTACTTCCTATTATCTATCTTTTATTTTGCTGTTATTTGCTTTAAAATCAGCAGATTATATTGTTTTGGACACCTTTTAATTTTTCAATTGTTTCTGACCTGATTACAGAATTTACCCATATGCATTAGTGGGGCCGTGTGAAATCCTTTCTGGTATACAGTGACTGAAAGGTAACCATCACACACGCACCCCTCATCGGTGATGAAGTTTTGAAAACTGCCTGTTTAAGACAAATTCGTATATGTCAAGGTATCTAATCTGTTTTTTAAACTATGATTCTTTAAATTAACTTTAGTATGAATTAACAGAAAAACATTAATTCTCAGGATTTGGAGGGTTCTGGGGATTGAACCAAGGGCTCATTTTCAGCTGCTCCTCCTTTTATTTTTCATTTTGTTTTGAGGCTTGCCTAGCTGAGTCACTAAATTGCCTAGATTGAGTTTGAGCATTCTTCTGCCTCAGCCTTCCAGAGTGCTGAGATTACAGTCATGTGCGACTACACCCAGCCATCAGATTTTTAAATCTGCTAATATAGAATGTTGTGGCTGGAACTTGGGAATCTTCTTTATTAAGAATTCTTTGCTTAATAATGAACTTTTACCCTGTGAGTCTTTTCAGAACGTAGATGTTTACTGGCTCGCCTGGGTATGCCTTGGTGGTAAAGTGGTGAATGATGATGGCCACATAAGCAGGACCCCTGGCCGCAGTGCTGTGACCAGCAGCCCCTCCAGGGAGCACATTCAGCCATCCCATTCTGGGAACCGCAGCTCAGGACTGAACATGTCGTATTTTGAAATTCACGCAGTTGCACATTTTGAAGCAGGGTTTGACAGCCTGCCGTGGATAACCAGGACTGTTTTCTTCAGCTTCACCTCTGTGTGTGATTTGCAGTGTCCGCCTGGTGCCTGGGTTCTGGTTTGTCTCACGCTAAGTAGTAATAGCCATGAGCCCTGTAATGATCTTTCCCCCCAGGGAACTGTTGTTATTGGTAATGAAGGCGTGCCCGCCGAGTTAGCCCTGGAACATGATACCACTTCAGGCTTTTTGTTTTAGAGGCTTTCGATTCGGCTTTACAGAAACAAGGGTGGCCTGGCTTACTCCGTAAGGCACTAGCAGCAGGAAAATGGAAATATCGGGGTAAAGAGTGACTTCTTATTCCACAACTGATTATTAGCTCTCCTTTTTTGGGTTTAACAGTGGTAGAACACTGCCATCCACCAGGTGACTACGGACGGCATGAGTGGTGCAGGCTTCAGAAAGACGTCTCTGCGCGTCAACCATCCTTGCTTCCACTCGACATAGCCCACTCAGCCCCCTAGTCCACTCCTGCCTTATTTAATTTCTGTCAAGGCATTCTTCACTGTTTTTAGTTGTTTTTGTGTTGGTTTATGTTTCTCTATTTCTTTTGTGTCTTTAGTCCCCTAGAATGTAAGCTTCCAGAGGACCTAATTTGGTGTTTGTTTCGGCTGGGGCTCAGAACTTGCTACCCTAAAATATGGCACTTGAGCCTCCTGAGTATTTTGAGATGAAGGAAATTAAGAAAATTCGGGAAACAGGATGCTCACTCTTTGGTCTGGTCCCAACTTCCTCCCCTGAAGTAGGTCATAAAAACGTTATCTGACTTACCACCTACTCTAAAAGCGGGTCATAAGACTCATTCCAGAAGGGCTCTGCCTTATGCTTCACGGCTAAGAAGACTGAACAAGCAGGCTTTACTAAATTTCTCCAGTTTATCGCCTTTGGATCACACCCCTTTACCCTCCAATCACAGTTGTTTCTGACTGTCCATAAAAATACAGTTTTCTTGTTACTTGGGTCTTCTTTTCAGAAGCCTTTTGTGTCATGTAAAACTCAAATTTGTTATGGTTTTCTCTTGTTAATTTATATATATATTTTAAAGGGATTTAGCTATGAACCTAATGACCGGTAAAGAAAAGGCATTAGTTTTTCTCGCCTACATTTGCTATAACTGTTTTGTTTGGGGAGAAGAATGAAGACAATAGGATTTTGCTTGATAGAACAAGTCTCTAAGTTTCTACCTTTAGTTAACATGAAATATCAGATGATGTGTATTTGTTTTCCAGTGAACAGTCAAGGGCGTGGGTTTCCTGAAATTTGCATCAAATGTCTCCCCGTTCCATGCATCACTGACGAAGACTCAAATTTCTACCAGTCTAGTTCCCATATTATAATCCAAAAATGTAATTCCAACAAACCAAACGATTAAGGCAATATTCACCCCTTTAAAAGGCATACTGCTTAATAAGTATAGGATAAGGTACCCTTTAGGGCAATTACTACACACGTCTTTGGGTGGGAGGATGTTTTAGGTATATTAAGGAGAGAGGTTTATGCTACCCAGGTAATCTGGAATCTCATAGGAACTATTTACAGAATATGCTTGCTTATACTCTTCTATGTTTACAGGTGCTTGAATGCCTTACCTAGAGATATAATTTTATGATATTAAGTAGGAAGTGTCTCTTAATAACTGTTGAAATATTAGCAATTACTTTTCAGATTGCTCTAGAAAATAAGAAAAGGAGTTCTGTAAGGAAGTGTGATTTTTAAAAAAAATTTTAAAAGCTTCTGTTCGCACGAGTTTTTATGATCCTAGATCAGATCTTTCACATGACATAGAGATTTGGCTATTTTTAAATTTCATGAACACAGAAGATTTTTGCTCTTAATGAAGTCTAATATTTAACACCCTTTGGCAACAGCCAGAAGTTCTGTAGAAATATTAGCTCTGTAACTTACTGTGCAACTTTGGCCCAGCCTGTTAACCTCTCAGCACATCTAGTTCCTCATTTTTCAAGTGGGGAAACCCAGCCTGTCATATTGAGAATAACTGACACTGACAGGTGGTGTGTGTAGCGGAGCTCAGCTAGGATTGAGA